GTGGGAGACGCGACATGATACCAGATTCTGGCTTCGGTCGGACAGGTGTACACGAGGAGAGAAGTTCTGTTCAAACACGAGGGGAGAAAGCATGGGGCATGTTAGGGGCTGGACAATGCATCACAAGGTCAGGTGCGTCAGGTGCGGCCTGGCGAGACCGCTGGAAACAGTCGCACTATCACAACTTCACTTGTTCCCGCAGATGAGTCTAAGTAGAGTTCATGTAGCGTGGGACGTGTGGGGTTACCTTCCTGGAGCTGAGGCCTCAGACCAATTTTCAATACTTTAAACCACATTACACTGCAATCCTGTCGTTTCTATTATCCTAAAATCAATTAAACACGTAGACTTTTAAAAATAAGTGTTCATATTTTACTGTGGATCGTTAACAATTACGAGTCGAGATACCAGAGCATGTACAAACGTTATAAGCAATTAAATTAACATCTCCAGCCCTTCGTCAAATTCGGACGGGAGTCCTCTGGTTGTGCGAGGTTTTGGTAGGGACTCTGCTTAGCAGAGGGCGCCTGAAGAGGGGTCACAGGGCGCTTTGGCTTTCTGAAGACGCTGTACAGGGTCCGAAATTTGGGTTTCGACACGTAAGTTCCAAATTTCGGAGCTTACGTTTAATTAATGTTGTTTTATTGCTATTTTAAGTCCGGAAAAACTTGCATCGGAAGTGTACTATCTTCCGCAATGTGACGTCACCTATTCTGTTGGAAGGGTCTCAACATTTCAGGGTGGCCAAGCCCAAGTAACGCTGCGACTAATTGGCCGTCGGTCGGTTCGTCCTGGTACGAGGATCGTCCTGGAGCGTCTACTGTGACGAGAGTGTGGTCTGCTCTTTACCAAATCTTTGTTATTGTCACTACATCTGTTTCAATATTTACAGTTCTACTATAACCAATTAGTACCTACGTAATAGCTTCTGCGCATGTCTGCAGTACATACAAGGCCTCTCTCTGTCAGCCCGAGGTCTGTACAGCTGATTATGCTTTCGACGCTGAGGCAATAAATTGTCCCAGTGGGTTGCTTCTCCTATCGAACAGCACAGTAAAATTAAAAAGGAAAAATCGTAAATTCGGGGTTGCGCGAGAGTTGTAATTACACGTGGGACAAAACTGGGTGTGGTAACAGGCCTACTGCTTGCATACTGACTGCGTCTTTGAAGCCAGAAATTCATCTAAACAATATTTTACAATCCACTTAATGCCTAACAAAACACACTGGGTCTTCATTACAACGCCCAGTCGGTTAATTCTATTTAGGGAAATAATAGTTGTTTATTCTGAAGATAGAATTTGTGGGGAAAATATACACTCCTTAATATTAAAGCAGCTGGTAATTATACTTGCCATATGATACGTGTTATTTACTTGTTGCCAAATTCTGAAAATTTGCCTGCAAGTAAACGACAGTGTCATGTGTCAGACGAGCTGCACTGTGCACATGGCTCCCNCAGCTCACAAGGATCTTGTACTCACAGGCATGATTACATTCGACCAATAACATTACGGGATCCACTATGACCATAATCACTGCGCTTTCAAAGCCGTTCAAAGCTACATAACCACTACTACCTACCGCCACCACCATCACTACACCCTGCACCTGAGATCAAAGCTTTCTGTGTTTACCTCAAGCAGACGGAGTCTCGCTCTTGTACAACACTTCCTGTAAAACAATACGCAAACACTCCTCACACAAAAATAAGGAAACGTTCACTTTAGATGCTGACGGGCCAGTTTCCAATTTCCCCCCATATTCGTTTTACTTCCTTCAAAACATGGCAGATGTTTCCGGTAGTCTTCTGTTTTTGTTTTGTTTTGTTTTTTCACCCCCTCTCTGGGCAGGCGCACAAGGAGTTCTTGATACCAGTTTTTTCCTTAAATAGGGGAAGACAGTGAATTCGTGGTTACGACTCTGAGGTGGGGAGGGAACACTGAATAATATAAGTAACGACAATTGAACGATCAACTGAAACGAACCACAACAAAGACCGAGACCTTTCCTCCATTGCACTGAGTCAGTACTTCGACCCGAACTCGGCTCGCAGCGTGTGACGTCACAGAACGCTGCCCGCGCCATCCGCCGGATACCCTCGTCCACACAATCGATACCTAAAACCGGGCCACAGTCAAGAAAAAAAGCAACGCCAAGTTTTTCTAAAAGGGATATCGATATGCCCATCCGAACGCGTATTTATTTGGAGAGAACGCACTTCTAGGTTGTAACGCTGTGTAGTTGGGAGACAGCCTGACGTTCGGAGGAATATATCGCCTCCATCTTCAGGGTCTAATAGTAAGCTAAGCAAGAAATCAGCAGAACCAGGCAGGAAGCTGAGCTCCTCAGTCAGGATAGTCAGCTTTCCGACAGAGATTCGAACCGAACCTCTCCCCAGTACAATTCAGAACCTTACCGCTTGTCCAGCTTGGTTACGAGCATCGAATCATGTGTCAGGCTACCTCCGTAGCAACGAGGTGCATGCATTACAATCCATCATCAGTACTTGATGAAACCTGCAGCAAATACAGGGTAGATGAGACGTGCTTAAGAGCATTTTAGTGGCAAGACCTTAAGAGAAGTGACAAACACTTGCAGGCGCTCCCGGCTTGTCACGGACAAAATGCGTAGTGTAACAACAATAAGGCTACAGACGGAAGTGTAACAATGTAAGTGCAGGACAACGTAGAGCTGCCATCAATTTGGGGGCAACTTTACAAGAGCAGAGAATAATAGCATTTCAATGTTGTTTTGATTATAACTCAACCTAGACCAAGGCTGTCAGGAAGGGCCGTGCCATAGCTGAGAATGTTATTCGCCGGCTTTCTACAATGGCGGTGCGAGTTCGAGCCCAGATCAGGCCATGTTGGATTTATGATGGACAGAGAGGCACTGGGACAGGTTTACTTGGACTCTTTCTGTTTCCCCTGCCAATTCTCATTTCGCCGCATGCTCCACACTCGGGACTGGTACAGCAGACCCAGGAGTGCGCGACGTACCACGTAGAATCGGTCTCACCCCTTACGAATTAAAAATATGTGAGGAATGTAGTGAGGCCCGCCCAATGAGAAGTGGAAAGGGTGAATTTCTAGGTTCATATACATCCACGAAGAACCTATTAACATCGGCCTATCCGTCCGTCTGTACGCAAGGATCTGAACGAAAATGGGGTTCCAAGGGGATGTTTTATTTGTACCTAGTGGAGTTAAGCTGTCGAGTCGAAAGCCGCAACACGGAACAGCTCCCTTGTTTAAAATATTTTCATCGACACAAGGAATACAGATCTGCAAGAAAAAGAGTAGGCATACTGAGTGATGCATTGAGTGTGGGTCTCAGGTTGTGAACGTTTGTAGAGGCATACTGATGTCACCAAATTTACCTTAAACTTAAGCACGAGAGGTGTAGATTTTATTGGGCCTGGCCCCACACTTCAGGCAGTCACGAGCCGCCAGTCTCTGACGAATTCGGAACCGTTCAATTACGTGTAAACCGAATTACTTTTTTTTTTTTGCAGGTGACAATTGCATAAATTTTCCTTTCCCATAACAGGCAAATTGGCTAAACTCATCTAAGCAGGAAAGAAAATATTCACAGGACAGAGTTAGCATGTTGTTTTGCTCCTTCAAGGCTTGTTACACAGCAACTGGATCCTGATTCTGCAGCATATTGACGGGTTCTGCATCTAATCGGAAAAATCAGCAATAGTAAGCAAACTAACGAACGTCATGGAGCTGAGCCCTTCTCGAGAAGCCGCCAATTGTGCAGCTACTCAATGACGTCCCAGCATTTTATGGAACCCGAAGGTTCATTACCGTGTTCACAAGAGCCCTCCACTGGTCCCTATCCTGAGCCAGGTCCATCCAGTCCATACCATTCCATTCTATCTCTCTAAAAACCATTTTAATGTTATCCACTCACCCACGTCTTGACCTTCCCAGTGGGCTCTTTCCTTCTGGCTCTCCCACCAATATCCTATATACCTTCATCTTCTCCCCATTCGTGCTACATGCCCTGCCCACCTCATTCTCCTTGACTTGATCATTTTAATTATACTTGGCGAAGAGTAAAAATTATAAAGTCCCTCATTATGAAGTTCTCTCCAGTCTCCTGTCACTTAATCTCTCTTCGGTCCAAACATTCTCCTCAGTACCCGGTTTTCAGACACCCTCAGTCCATGTTTCTCACTTAATGTCAAAGACTAAGTTTCACACCCATGCAGAACCACGGGCAAAATTATAGATTTGTATCAAGCTAATAAGGTTAGATTACAAAAACAAAAGGAACAGACATCAATTTACTGATTTAACCAGGATGTGAATTTGCATAAATACGCTGAATAGTTCAGTTGTGATGGATATGAATGGTAAGCTTCGTGCCTGGTCTTTTTGCCCCAGACAAACAGCTCCCAGTGTCGGCTGGCTGGACCCTAGGGCTCTTGTGGAGAAGGGAATCAATCCCCTGCTTCCCCGTTAGTCCAACATTTAATCTAGTCACCACACTAACTGAGCTATCCCAGCTCTCTCTGTGTTGGCTAATTTAAGGACGCTGTTTTCACTGCAACATCAGCTTTACTTTCTTTCTGTTTGCAATGAGGAATTCAGCAGCATCAGTAGCCAGAACTAGACCCAGTTAAGTTGAATACTGGTCACGTATCAGCAGACAAGCGGAGGGGACGGAAAGGGCTGGTGCCCATTTAAATGTAATCTTCTTGTAGAAAGTACGAGTAAAGGAACAAAAATTCTTAGTCATTTATAATCGGAGCTCTGGCCGAGGTTCTAACGGGATATTTCTCAAATTCCAGCCGACTTATTGCGATAGGAAGCGACCTTACCTTTACGTGCTGCACAGTGTTTTCACAAACGAGGTTCTGGCGATCAAGTCATAGAGGTGTGATCATTACATCTGGTGCAGTGGAAATGTCATTAAGGGAAAATACTTAAGCTGGTATAAGTATAGTTCTGAAGTGCTGAATTTGAGTTGTTTAAGATCATACTTACCTGAAAGCTGTAGTGGCTGTTGTCTCGGTTTTGTTCCCTGCGTCGGCTGTTGCCGTTTTTGTGACTGTTAGGGCGGCAGCTACGGTCTGGAAGCCCCTCTCTACATCTGCTGTTGCTGGTGCAGTTGCCTCCGCGACTTGTATAGTTCTGGCTGTCAGCGAGGAATTAGATTTTAGTGACAAAACGCTCATGAAGCTCGTGAACGAGATGAGAGTGTTGGTTAATGTAAGTCACATGCATCACAGTTCGGAAAACTTGTCCAAAACTAAATGATCTGCGTTTGAATTATGTGCTTCAGGGCGGTGGATCTGTTGCAAGCAACGTCTGTTCATATCTGAGTAGCATCTGAGGATCCGTGCCCCTGGCTTGTGATGGCACTTCGTTAAGTTAAGGTATCGTTAAGCGATTTCTGGTACTTCCTCCGTTTCTCCCGTGCATTAAGTACATCCATCTGTTCTGTGTTTACGTCATATTGCAACTCGCCCTTGGCAATTAATTATTTTATATTTAATCTTCATATTAATGAAGGAAACCATTTCGTTTGTTTCGTCTCAACTGAGCCCCGCAGTTCTCGTGATGGCCCCCGCAGACAAGGCAGACGTAAACACACGCGGTGGGCTTCTTGCATACGTACAATTCCCTACATTTTTGCCAACAGGTCTAGTCATACGATTATTAACAGATATTATATATATATATATATAATAATATTCCTTCTCTCTAGTTCACTCCTTTACTCCGTCTCTGATCTTTTTGTTAGGAAATTGTAACAGGGTTTTATAGTGTACAAAGTGACCTAAATCCACATTTCCACTGCTTGGCAATCGATTAATGCATAAATAAGTGAGTATGCAGGGTCACCGCAGTAAATAATAGAAAAATGAATAGCATGGCACCCTTTCCTACTTGCGATAGTTATACGTTGCGTTTCCTCTCGCTTCCTGCTTCTCTTCCTCTTCGTCAGTTAGAATACACACTCACAAGGAAACAGGCTCATCATTTCATTATCATAAATTATTTTAAGCAAAACCAGAGCGAAGAACGGGCGGTTTGCCTATTAACGATACAGAATCTTGTATTTGCTTTGAAACGTCAGTGAAGCTGGAAGTAGTCACAAGCCGTAACTAATAAAGAATCTCCTTTTTCAGAATTACACACGCATGCGCTTAAATGGTCTTCTTGCTTTCGTCTGAGACAATCAGTCCATCTGTCACCTCAGCTTCGTTCCCTGACCTTTCTATTTCTTGCTTTTCTTCCAGCAACTTCTGTCTCTCTTCCGCCTCTTTCTTCATTTCTTCGTCTCGCTGTTTAGTTAAATATCCTGGCAACCAGAAACACGCGTATATCAAGCGTAGCAGAACCCACGCACAGAAAGCTAATGCCAAGTAGGTACACGACGTGACCATCATCTGCCACACATTTACAGAAACTTGTTGATGCCGCATTGTTCAAAGTTTGACGTCACACGTGGAGGGATTTCTATGAGACAAAACGTAATTGAATCAGCACGAGAAAATAATATCCTTGTTCATAATCCGAGTCTGTTTACTAACGCAGTTACAGGGTGCAGTTTTGCAGTTCATATTTTAACCGAACAAAATGCAACATAAGACTTGGTTTCTGGGATTCATATGCACTGTTCTTGCAGTAAAAATATTCAGGGACATTTTGTAATCAATTTAAATATAAATAATGTCATTCACTGGATGTTACTTTCTCTGGTCGCTTAAAATATAGCAGGATGAAAACCTAGATCTAATATTTGTAACATAAGTCAAAACAATTTGAATTCAAACATATGAAAGAACTGCGTTGCTGTAACTGTACTAAACTAAAAACATATTACTTTCAGGTCATACATAAGAAATCTCAGCATATATCTCTTTTCAGCTAAGGAATTCCAGATGTTTAACAACAGGGCGATTTTTCAGATGTACAACATCCTGGAAAAATTCTAGCGTGGAATATTTCGACCTGCTCGCGTATTTACTTCCTCATTTGTGTCCATAGTACCTGACGATGTCAGGAAACAAATGAAGCGGTTCCGGCATCACTAGAGGAAATTAAACTGACTGGAATTTTACATCGAGTAGCGAATTCTGGGAAAATGTTCACGTCACAAAGAATCGACACGGTATATTTTGTGCGCTCTTCCTTTAATTTACGTATACACACAAACACCGACGGTTCTTCTTTCTGAATAACTTCAAGTCGAGAAGATTAATTACTTTTGGCAAGAAATATCTTCAAGATTCTTTTAATGCAAAAGTTAGAAGACGGACTTTTCCTTCTCGTCCGTTATTTTTTTCCTGTGAATTACAAACTTTCATGCGTATTGCTGGATTTCGACTGTTCATAGACGCTTACAACTGAGTTCACAGTGTGACATCTATGAGTTGATTATTGCTCTTTTTATGATACATTTCTTTTCAAGACTTCTATAATAAACCACATAACATGCTGTGTAAGGGCTCAACAGTAATCTCTTAGAATTTCCTGTTAGATGAATGTATTAGCCAACACTAATTGTCACTTATACGCTGGAACACTTAGTGGTAACATTTCTCCACACACTAAGGCCTATTTGTTGTTGCAGTTACGGAACTAACATACCTCGTTCTAATGCGCTGACAGAAGAAACTAGTTAAACATTTTCGAGTCACTCTGTTCACAAATACGAAAAGAAAGAGCGTGTCGTTGTATGCAAATGGAGGACTGTTCGTGACTTTATCTGTACACTTTTCTACATTACTTTAAAGAACGTTTCTAAAGTCAGGAAATTGCTTCGCGATCAAGAACGCGGGCGTCTCAACCCTCTGTGACGTAGTAATTGTACGAAAAGTGAGGCGCCCTAATAATAATCGATACAACATAAGTACGCGAAATGTTGACACAACAGTTGCCCATGGAAACGTTTCCTTACGTAGTCATTTCTTTCGATTTACGAACGAGTTGGAGCCATGGGTCATGTCCAGGTCTAGTAAGCAGAATACGGAACAAATTCATACTTCACGCTTGTCTGTCTGGTTCATACTAAAACATAAATATGTGTAAATATATGGGCCAGATAATTAATTAAAAGTAAAGGTATCCCTGTAACAGGCAGTGAAGTCCCATAGGGTTGTGACATGTTGAGGTTCCCACATTTTCTAGACAGTCGGCTCATAGATGGCGGTAAGGTTGTCAGCCTTAGCGCCGGCCGCCCTTTACCCTCAGGAAGATTCCTGGTACTCATTTCTGTTAGAGGCTGAGTCGACCCCAGGGCTTCTTTTTGGCTGGAAGTATTTGGTAAACTGAAAAAAAAAAAGAAAAGAAAATCCAATGACATCGGGATTCGATCCCGCGACCTTCCAGGAATACACCTATAGATGNTGGCTGGAAGTATTTGGTAAACTGAAAAAAAAAGGAAAGAAAATCCAATAACATCATCGGGATTCGATCCCGCGACCTTCCAGGAATACACCTATAGATGCGCACACCCGGTTGTATGTCACAGCTATAAACTTCCGGGGTGTCATGATGTGCTAACAAATCAATTTGACAAAATTATCGACCGAAATGTTCGTAAGGTAAGTTGTCCCACGTCACTAAGACGTATGGCGGAATGGCGGTATTGCTCAGGCATTCTCACAACACAGAGGTGAGTGGCCACCACCCAGTGTAGACCACTTTACTGCAGAGGAAGAGCATGGATCCGTGGTAACAAGTGAATAACACGCCGTATGGATATCAGAGGCAGGCTTAACTCAGTGAACAGAATATCTGTGGCCCCACCTGGTATCGAATCTCAAAGTCATCCAGCCCATACCCTAGTCCAGGGGTCTCCAAACTTTTCGAAACGCGGGCCACATTAGGTAATGCAGCACTTTCAACGGGCCGGATAAAATGAGAAATTAATAACTCTATGTATATGAGTTTTACTGAAAGCACAGAATTTCATAACTAAATACAAAGTACGTGAGAATAAATTATCGTATATTAATGACAACAGACAATAGCAGCAAATGCTCGTATTTTCATCACAAAAACAATTAATGTGAACGATGGAACTCTTTTTGCATTCTTAAACTGATTAAATTGAGGTTCAAATTTTGAAACGCTAATCACAAGTAGCGACTTTAAATGTTCATAGGATAAATTTGCCCTGTATTTCAACTTGATGTACTTCATCTGGGAAAAAGTTTGTTCACACAGATATGTCGTCCCAATAATGGAGATAAATTTACAAGCAAATTTCTTTAAAGTTGGAAATTGCTCAGAGTACAGAAATTTATAAAATTTGATCAAATTTCTTTCCCTGTATTTGTCTTTAATATATGATAATTTTCCTGAAGTTCAATATTTCCATTTGAATTTTACTTGGGACATCTGCAGCATATCAGTCAAACGGATTTTGAAACAATCTAATTTCCTGAGCACTGGCATCCAAATCAGCAAATTGCTTCCGAAATTGTTCTTTCAAATCTGAAATGACTAAATTTGCAAACAAGGAAGAAAATTCAGCTTCACCCTTTTTATGCAACTCTGCACAGTATAGCATATGAACAAGTTACAATTTTTCACTTGGCTTTCCAGAAGTATCAACTTTGCTCTGAATGCCCTGATAAGTTCAAATAAATCACAGACTAAGTTATTTTCACCCTGCAACTTTAAATTCAAATTGTTCATATGGTTCACCAGATCAGCAAAAAATGCTAATTTCCAAAGCCACTCAGTATCTGATAAAAGTGGTTTGTGATGGTTTTTCTCAGTAAGAAATATATCAATTTCATTCCTGAGCTGAAAGAAGTGCAAAAGAACCTTTCCACAGCTAAGCCATCGAACTGCAGTATTATATGACAGATCAGTAAGCTTGGAATCACATTCCCCGAGAAAAGACCGAAACTGGCGATGGTTAAGTGCATGACAGCAAATGAAATTAACGATACAAATAACAGGTTTTAGAACAGAGCTAATATCAACGTGTTTTGCACAGAGTGCTTGTTGGTGGATAACACAGTGAAGAAACATTGGCTTTGATATTCCTGCATCCTCATAAGCTTTTGTGATTTGGCCAACCAAACATATTTTTATACCAGACATGTTTTTTTCTCCATCAACTGTCACACACTGCAGATGGTTCCAGTCCAAATTATATTCTGTTAGTGTTTTTTGTATTTCTTTGAAGATATCATCTCCTGTTGTAGTGCCATGCATGCTGTGAAGTGACACGAATTCCTGTGTGACATTAAGTTCATCATCGACGCCACAAAAAAATACTACTAGTTGAGAGGTATTACAAACATCAGTTGAAATCTATGAAAAAGTATTTCTTTTACCAGTACTCATTGGAAAATTAGTTCAATTGGCGCACTTCTGCACAATTCTTTCACGGGCCGGATAAAATCACATCGCGGGCCTGACCGACTCATCACTCTGTGCTTCTCATGCAAGCCAGAATAGCCTCCTGGCCAAGATTCAAACCCAGGATTTCCTGATTATGACACAGTGTGAACAATGCAACACACAGAACAGGCATTTCCAGACAGAACGCTCATAAGGGCCATTTTCCTGCTTCCAGTCTTTGTGTTTCTGTTCTTGGTTTCCCCAATGACAATGTCAGTAACTTCACATCATCAGATAATACAATGATTAGGTAAACAATAAATTGGAGAGGATGTGCAAGGAAGCACTCATAGCCCACAACTGTCCTGGAGAGACTGAGGAATACTGCAGAAAACAAATGTCACTCAGTACTGCTAGTCTCTCAGACAGTATCTGAATATGGGACCTTCAGAATCTCATATTCACATATCGTTTCCAAATATTAACAGAGAATGTGCACAACACTTCGAAGAAAGTCTTTTATTCGTAACTTATTATGGATCTGTGCGCAATATAGCAAGGCAGGTTTATTCATGTATGCTTTGAGGTTCCCACAGCAGTGGCTATGAAGAGACCTGCCCTCTGGATGATACATCACTATGAGCATCCTTATAATGGAGTTCATTTTTATGATTGTGACTATAACCTACTGGATCAGTGCTGTCCATCCACATGATGCTCACACATCAACCATAGTTTCTAACACACTCTCTTGCCAGTTCAATATTATTATCATGTTATCAAGTTGGCAGGACTTCCATATGCAGGGCTCAAGTCCAATGGTAATGTCACAAACACAATATACTATCCTCCATCCTTGCAAAAATAAAACAGCTGTAATTTTTATAACTTAACCTCATCTGCCTGTATGTTGGTGCACAGAGCTCACTGGCATGTCTATGTCCCTGCATGTTGAGGACCAGCAGACAGCAAAACCTCCATATAAGCCTTCATCCTCTAACAACCTACATTCTCCATTTATCTTGGTCTTCCCAAAGCTCCTTCTGTGCAACGCCTTTCCTAACTTGTTTTCCTCATCTTGGTCGTTTTCCTTTTAAATTCATGTGTGGGACCTTTTCTTGGATTCTGTCTTTATTCTCTGAAGACACGGCAAGATCATCTTCATCTGTTCTTTGATAATTTATATTCAAATTCTCTCTCCTGTTTTGTATCTTATTCTATTTATCTTCTCTCCCTCGAGAGTTCTCGCAAATCTTGTCTGAGCATCTGAGCTGTTGTTGGTCTACAAATATCTGCCTTTGTCCATGCACATGCATTACAATGAGCATGTTGTGCTGTTTAATGAATGTACAAGGGGTGGGCCTTCTTGGCCCTTGCACAGCAACCACAGTGATCTATTGTGCCTTTGTGCTCTTTAAGTCAATGCATTGTTTTTACCTTCATCATTTTCCACTTCCAAAGTACATCCCTAACTAAGCAGTAAAATTTATCTGCATTTGTTATTTTTCTTTGATATCTTTTTGTACTCTTTAGTTTGTTACCATTCTCCTCCCCACTGTGTTTACCACACACGTGTTGTTATTATAATGAGTAAAGCAAGGATGATGAGATGAACTAGACATGTAAAAGGAAAGTAAGAAAGTAAAGGTATCCCTGTAACAGGCCATGGATGCCCATAGGTTTGTGAGATGTTGAGGTTCCCAAATTTTCTAGATTATATAAGAGAGCTACACTGCCTAGGAAGACAGTTGAGATGGAATCTAGCCAGCGGCGAGTTACGAGTTGAATTGAATTGTAACGAGTCAATCGTGACAGAGTGAACTGATTTGTGTGTAGGGTTTGTAAATTGTGTAAACCCATAATGTTGTTATAATTGTAGCCGAGATTTGTAGGTTGTTAAATAAACAAATTAACAATCCGAATGGTGTCTTTAGTAACGAAACACGTTACACTAGTGTCAGAAGTGGGATTGGACTTACACACGTGACCGACAGGATTCGAAACCAAAACACATTACAAGTGGTGTCAGAATTGGTTTACGAACTTCAACACGCCTCAACGAACAATTGAATTTACGAGGGCATAAAGTATTACCCTGAAAAAGAAATGGACACACAGCAATTATTGGAACTCCTGAAGAAATAACTGAAGGCCGAGAGAGAAGCTGCTGAGAAAAGGGCTGATGACAGGTGGAAAGCCTGGCGAGAAAAGATGGCCACCATGCGAGAAGAGCTGGTCACAGAAACGGAAACCACCAGAGCAGAAACAAGAGCTATCCAAGAAAGGACGGAAGCCATGCAAGAAATAATGGACACCAGCCACATGGAGATGGTGTATGCATTTAAACCCGAAAGAGACGTAAAGACAATAGCCTGCCAAGATGGAGGCACATCTAGAAGAAGAAAAGCCGGCCCGAGTGGACATGAAACCTGAGGCGGAACAAGAAGAAGAGGTCCCTGTAGACAACGTCGCAGTGAACCTGAAGATGAACAGATGCAGATTACCCAAAAAGAGACGGTGGCCTGCCCAGTGGACACAAAACCTGTGACGGCACAAGAGGTCCCCATTGCAATACCGGTCGGAGTGACAATGGCCTGCCGAGAAATGGAGGCAGGTCCAGAAGGAGAAAAGCCCGCCTCAGTGGACAGGAAACCTGAGGCGGCAGAACAACGATAGGTACCCGTAGAAGACGCCAAAGTAATGCCGGTCGGAGAGCCGAAGAAGAAAAGGCGCAGGGACCGAAACAAGTGACGAAATATGAAGAATCCGACACGAGGAAGTTGTGGACCCCAGAAGAAGTTGGCCGTAGCCCACAGATGGATGAGCCTCCGTGCGAAAGAGGAACGGCAGAAGGTAAACAGCAGGAAGGTGTCCCGCCGTGCAACAGTGGCATGGTGTAGGAGGAACATCTTCAGGAAATCTTGGACCCAATTATGTATCCCAGATGAAGTTGGCTGCCACCTGCAGGAAGACTTCCCATCGCGCGACAGTGGCACGACATTGGAGAAATGTCTTCAAGAAGGAAACTCCCCAGGGAACCTTCAGATGCCAGCGGAAAGAAGTGACAGCCACCAGAATAAAGATTACACGCTGTGTAGGACACAGGCATATGGGACGAAAAGCAGACAATGTTGAACAAGAAACCTGGAAAGGAAGAACTGGAATAAAGAACATGGGTGGCAGACAACTGCTATGCCAGAAGAAAAAGGTGCCAACCAAGGACGCCATCGGAGGGTGCAGATCAGGAAAGCGATCGCACCTAGGAGGGAGAATTTGTAAGAAGACCATCTACGAGATTGTCAGCGTGAAGATTGCAAAACGAGTGGTTGGATCTTCTGTCTGATTACGACAAAACAAGGAATGGAACTTATGGAGGGTTCGATCCCCTCCGAAACGAAAAAAGGGAAACAGCCCATATGGGGGGAACCGGTAGTAAGAGCACCGGCCTCCATAGCAAGAATGAATGAAGACGAATGAATGCGATACAACGGGATCTTCCAGGCGAGCTGAAAGGAAACCGCTTGAGACGAGCTGGTCTTAAGAGGGGAGCGGTTGTAACGGCCGGATAATAGTCACTGCGAGGAGCAGCCGAAACAGAAGATGCTGCAAGAACAGCCTCCAAAGACAAAGGAACGGGGATGCACCGTTAGGCTATTCGGGATGAAAAGCCTTAAGGGGGGAGCAGTGTGACACGTTGCGCAATGGAGGACC